CCGCAGGAGGACGGCAGAGGGAGAGGAACAGTTGCCGCCGGGCGAGGAGGAGGTGCGCGGAGCCACTGTCGGCGTTGGCGATCAGGCTCCACCTGCCATGAGATCATCCAAAATCCTGCCAATTGAAAGCAAAATTGGATCTTTATGGGAGAAAACTCCACAAAATCGAATTTTTAGAAGAAAACCCGTCAGAAATCACGCAATTTATTAACCTTAAAGGAACAAAAAAAGGAAAAATCGAGGGCAGTAAACGAGAAAATATCGAGAAGAAACAGATGGCACCAATCCGATTGACGTTCATCAAATTAAATTTTAGTAAACTAATTTTTAAATACTTAAAAATCTTGAAAATTCAAAATAGGATGATTTGATAATTCAAAAATTATAATAGAATTTATTAGTGCGACAAGGTAATTTTTGTCTGTGTTACATATTTTCTAGTGCAAATTTTTAAGATTTTTTCTTTGGGTTTTTTGGAGGTGTCCCTTCTCATATTTGTCAATCCAATCTATTATCACTATACAAAGCAGATACATTACACCCTTTAGACCGGTCTATTATCACGATACTATGTGTTATGGATCGATCTAATCCTCATGTATATAGTATTAATTATACTACCTGTGAATACATTTACAATATTTTTGATATTTTCATAAAAATAATATGTGTACTTAACAACATTATAACTGATATATATGTATATATATATATATATATATATATATATATATATTAAAAATCCAATAGAAACTTAATTCTTATAAAAATAGAGATCATTATTATTTTAAAAAATAAATAACTAAACAAAAAGATTTTTATATCGATTATGTATTTTATCAGTCTCGAAACTTATGAGAGTAAATAATGCTGATGACATAACAAGAATATAAGTTTTTGTTGCTTTGTCGGAAGAAAGATCGCTGTTGTTGGTGAAGGTTTATTAGATGGACAACGAATCGATGAGCAACAAGTGGTTTTCATTGTGAGTCGTTGAATAGTGATGGCCACTTCAACACTGTACAGTTGATGATAGTCGGATTCCCCAAAAGCCTTGGGATTTGAGTTCGAAAGTTTTTCACTAAGCATATGTGATTGTATAAAAAAGATTATTTTTATCTTTATAATTTAAAAAAAAATTATAGTAATTTATCCCTAATTATGCCATCGCCTGTGTTTGATCTTTCGATCCATCGACCATCGCGGAAAGGCATAAGTGATTAGAAAAGGGAAAAGGGATGATTAGTATTACCTGCTAGTTAATGCATACAAATATAAAGGAGGGAGACATGACCAAGCACGATGGAGAGCGATGAGCGATATGGATAAAATGATAAACTAAAAAAAATACTATATATTTTTTAAAATTGAGATATTTGTGAGAAAAAAATAAAATATTTTTTAAAAAAAATTCAACTCAATGATTCCACATCAAAGTGGAGGATGGAATAAACTTTTTGATACTTATCCTCAAGACCCATCATAGACTCCGTTAATTAAACTTGTCATACTCAAATGTTATTGACTTTGACTTGAATGTCACCCCCACAATAAACTTCTAAGTCTTCTTGACCTCAACTGCCCACGATCAAATCTACATAGAACCCACGGAAATCACGAGGTATGGAGTTACCCGTATATACCCGTGGAAGCCTCACGTGATTTTCGTGATATTGTCAAGTATGCTTCTGATTTAGCTTTCATGCAATTCATTTCATCGAATCATTTCATCATGATACTAATCTTAGGACAAAGGTTATCTGGAAGGAGATTAGCTGTGTAATATCTATAAACATGACAACCAGTCAAAATCGATGTAGACATTTAGGAAATTAGGGCCCTCTCCAATTTACATGAATCATGTTGTTGCTTTGTGAGTGGAAGTTAAGGTCCCTCTCCAACTTACATGGATCATCCATCCTCGCATCAGAATTAAGTGGGAGACCTTGACATTGACTTGCATCTTAGCGACACTAAAGTCAAAGTGTGATTGACCTTGACTGCGTGCTAGCCACGGGATCAAATCTATAGGGAATGTGCGCAGATGTCATGGGGATTTCCGGTGGTGATGTGCCTATACATACCCACAGAGACATCCTCTCCAACCTCACACCTTCACATTTCTTCTCTCTCGAGCGTTCCATCAATGGCTGTAGCTGGTAGCGGCAGTTTCCAGGACGGACGTATTGCCTCGAAGCGTCTCATGATGCTCGTGGCCCTGCTTCTCGTCTCCTGCTGTCTCGGCCATGGCTTCGGCGATGAGGATCATGTCGAGGTGGAGGGAATCGGCAGCAGTTGCATGGAAAGCGAGAGGCGAGCTCTCCTCGCCATCAAATCTGATATGTACGACCCCGACAACTGGTTTTCTTCTTGGACCGGCAAAGACTGCTGTGGGTGGAGAGGTGTGGCGTGCGACCACACCACCGGCCATGTCACCAAGCTCGACCTCCGCTACCCCTACACATACACAACCACATACTTATACACAACCGATCTGTGGGATGTGTTTAACGACGGGGATACAATAGGCGTCAGCAAGGTAAATCCATCTTTGCAAGAACTGAAGCATTTGAAGTATTTGGATTTGAGCATGAATAACTTCTCCCACGCCCCTGTGCCCACAATGATCGCTTCACTGGTCCACTTGGAATATCTCAACCTATCTAATGCCATGTTCGATGGACTGATTCCTCCTCAGCTGGGGAACCTCTCAAACCTACACTATCTCGACCTTCAGGGATGGCATTATGATGATTTACATGTTGATAATCTCGATTGGCTCTCCCGTATTCCTTCTCTAAAATATCTTGAAATGAGTTATGTCAAGCTCTCCAAAGCAACCAATTGGTTCTACATAATTAATTCAATCTCCACACTTGAAGTGCTACATTTGATTTATGTAGACCTGCCATATGTTCCATCTCCTTTGCCCACTTTTAATCTGACAGCCATCACTACGTTGGATCTGTCTGGGAATTCCAACGTCACGTCTGCCATGCTAAGATGGCTTTCTAACGCCACCAGCCTCGAGAACCTCCTTCTTTCTGGCTGTGGGAGTCTCACTATCGAGTCGGTACAAGTTGCTCTAGGAGGTCTCCTTAATCTGAAGAAATTGGATTTATCAGCCAACTCCCTTAAAGGAGAAATTCGTGAAATTCTGAACAATGTCAGTAGCAGCAGTGGCCTGAAGCACTTGGATTTG